CTGGAGAGGTTCCAGGTATTTATAACAGAGCCTGATGGCCAAGCTCCACATCCGTCCTGTTATCTTTAAAATGATAAGGTATTTTAGAAGACATTTTCTTTAGGATCATAATAATGATAAGGCATTTTAGAAGACATTTTCTTTAGGATCATAATGATAGTTCTGTTCAGAAGCACTGAGAGGTCACCAAAATGCCACCACTGACTGATCACTTCCAGTGCTCAGACATGACATCCTCCCTGTTCTCAGCTCTGTTCTTCTCCTCCTGCTCTGGGCTGCAGAAGGGAATTCCATCAGCAATTCCATGGTCAAAGCAGCTGGGATCTCTCACACAAGCAGGACTCAAAGCCAGGGATGTGGATGTTTGTCTCCTCCCAGGGTGCAGGGACAGTCCCTGTGGTGGGACAGCAGTCGGAGCTCTCAGAAATTAAGAGAAGGATTTTGTTCCTGTCAAAGCCACCCAGAGAGCTACACAGAAGGAAATAATTAGAACCAAAGAACACATCTGACATGTGAAGCCTGTGCACCAGGAGGACCATTCTGTGTCTTCCCAGAGATGCTCTAAAATGAGGATTTTATGAGCAGAATCCCATTCCCTCACAACAATGTGCATGGATCCCTGCAATTGCCAGAGCTGGGTGTAGTGACTGAGCCTGCTCCCATCACCAACAGCGATGTTGTTGGTGCTCAGTAAATGTTTTCATGGGTAAGGATTATGGCTGCTCTGTTCTTTGTTTAATTAAAAAAATCCTTTATATGGACCATAATAGCTTCTTTATTTTTAATAACATTTCCCAGTGCTGGTGATGTGGAAAGAAAGGGAGAGATCATAGAACAATTCACCAGCCTACTTTTAAATCACTATTATTCTGTTCTTATTCTAAGGTGATATTTAAGTATCCAGAAGTGCTTTACTAAGCAGGAAAAGTGAAAAGGGCTTGACCAAACAAATAATTTCCCACAATAGAAGTTTAAGAATTTGCACATTTCTTTCCCCCAGATTCAGGAAAAAAGGAATGATACCCTAAATGGCAAAGGCAACTTACTGCTCAAATCACATCCAGGTAGAAAAAAAAATACCAGAAATTGCATTATTTCAATATTCTATTTTTTTGACTAGAAAAGTACTGGAAGAAGAAAATAAGTGCATAACGTAAAGTAGATGCTGCAGTTAGAAGATTTCTTAGTTTGGGTCCATGGAGGCACCTTGGGACTATTGGGAGTTCCCATGGCAACCTCAGCATGGACAATTATGGAGCAGCCACAATTTTATTCTGAATATGCCTGGTGAGAAAGGAGTTTCATTTTGAGATGGCCACAAATAATGCCATTCCAGAGAGAAAATCCACAGCTAAAGGTTAAAAGCAACTGAAAAATAGTGACAGATTTTATCCTGCCTCCACTTCCTACAAGAGTATATTTTTATCTCTAAATATTAATAATGATGTATCACATATAAATCACTGAGGACAGATTTGATCACACTGCTAAATGAGCAGATAATAGATTTGTGAGTTATAGTGAGAGGTGAAATCCAGAAAATATGTAGATTAAATAAAATTTGTTGTATAGAAAACACTGCATTGCACCTCTGCATAATATAGCTCAATTTCTATATACTGCACAGGTTCAAATAGATTATACACAGAACATAGTAAAGAAAATTCCTTGCAATAAAATATAAAAGGTAAAAAAACCCCACCATCCTCAATTATTTCTGTTCCAATTTTGGTCCCATTTGTTGGATAGGATCCATTCTGGGCAAAAGTTGGGTGTTAATTTTTCAGCTGATTCAGATGTGGCAGAATGGGCCATGAGGAAACTTCTCACGACAAATAGTTTTTAACATTCAGTTACAAATGCAAGTGAGGAGAATGTTTGAATCTAGATTACTTATTTATTTATAGTCTTGTATAGCTATTTTATGGTAGATTTACATTGAATAAATGACTTAAGAATATGTGCCAGGAGGTCCAGTGAGCAAAGCAGCATTTCCATGAGATTTGTGTGGCTAAGAGCCACATTTCCCTAAGAAATCTGGGCTGTGAAAGTGATGTGCTAAGAAGGATGTGATGGTACTGTGTAAATTGTTCGAGATCAATGAGAGTTTGAGGTCAAATCTTAAAGCTGCTTGCTGAAATAGAAATGCAGGCAGATATCCTTAAAATTCTGATTCAAATGGGAGGTAGCTCCTAAGTAGTCTTGGAGGTTCTGCTACCCCACATTTCTAAACTTTAGTCAAAAGGCCAAAGTCAATTTTCAGAACATCTTACAACTTTCAGGATCAGAAAGTGGTTTCAGAAATTCTGCACCTATTGGCTCCCTGGTCTTTTCTAAGCTGAAAAGAATCTTATTCTTTTTTAATATGAAACAAGGAAATCCTAAAGATTCTCTACTCTTGTTTAGCTTAGGTTTGTATGCAGCCTTTTACTCTTAAGGCCACCATTATTTATTTTAAGTATTTGATATAAGTAATGCAGTATTTTTGTGGAAATTGTTGTCATTTTGTACTCAAAGTTAAATCAATGCACCTTGGCTACCAATCACATAGTCATATATGAAAAAATAGACCAAGCACTACAAGTGCAGACTGGATTGGGAAGAACTCTGGAGTTACTTCTTCCATAAACTGATAAATGGGAAGGTGGCCCAGTGTGACCCCTTGGTCCATCTGTGTTTTTAATCTCCTGCCAAATTCACTCCCCCAGGAAAGTGACAGTCTTCCTGTAAGGCTCCAATGCTGATTTTACAACAGTGGAAATAGTTATTTAGATGATGTAATTAAATCACAAATAGCAGCCTTTTTATCAGTGCTGTCTATTTGTTCCTTATTACAGGGCACCTAAAATAAAATGCCTGTGCAATCCAGGATATAGATGATAACAGAAATAAAGGAAAAGATGATCAGAGTCAGCACCACTTACGTGCCATACCAGAATAGCTAATAAGTGAAATACCACCATTCAGACATCTGTGCTGTGAATTTTCAGAAGCCATCACAGTGATGCCCCTTGAAACCAAGAAAGAATATTCCATGGAGGGTTCTGCTTCCTTCTGCTCCTTCTCAGAATGATAAACTTTGAGATAAGCGAAGAGGGTGAGCCCAAACCCTTCAGCCACCACATTGCACCAGCCTTGGCCTTGTTACAATTACAGAGTTTGTTCAGCTATCAATACTCTCATTTGTCATCATTAAGTTTTTCAAGTGTTCATTGTCCAGCTCGGGAAATGACATTTACTGGAGACACCGTGTGCCTGCTGAAGGCCCAGTCCCTTCCCTGGATTAATTCAGTCACCCAAACAGCACCAAGCAGGCTAGCCCAGACCAGGGAGAGCCTCAAATACACAGTGCTGAGGCTGAACTAATTAGACTTTGAGACAGACTAATTATTTCTGAGGCAGAGCTTCCCCTTGGTGAAGCTGCTGTCTCTGGGACCAGGTCCAGTAATTCTACATGAATCCTCTCAGGATTTCTACTCCACTTCATTGCAGGACATGGATAAACTCTGACTGTTCCTCCTGCAAGCCAAGTATTTACAGCAGGATTAAGAATCAACCTCAGAGACAGTAAATTCAATATACAAAGACACTGCATGTAATATCTGACATTTTTAAGTGGACAGTTTTAGTGACTTGGCTCTGTGATGTCTCTGACCTAAGAAAAAACAAGCAAATTTTTATACCTATATCACCAATATATAAATATCCACCCAATTCCAGACTCATCATAATGCATAGAAACATGGACAGAATTACTTTTGAAGCTATTCTTTCTACAGAGGATAAAAAATAAAAATGATCTTGAATAGCAAATGACCTAGTGCAGCAAAATGAAATCACACTGGTCAGATCACAACTGCAAAGAAAGGAAAATGGAATGGAGGCTCAAATACTTCTCAAATGTATAACAAAAATCATATTTCATGCTGCAGACATGGGAGCTGATCCAAATGTGTTCAGAAGAAATTAGAGCACCTTTTCTTTTTCTTCCTTGAAAGTTGAACATGTGTCGTTTTTCCTCACTTTCATGGGTTAACCCATCTTTTATAATAACAATGGAGAATTCTGCCTGATGGTGAACATAGAAAATTGCCATTTCAGGTTGAAAGGAACAGGCAGGTTTGTTTATGCACAACAGGTACATTCATTATGTACAACAGCTTGGCTGAGGTTGTAAGCAGTGCAGACTGGAATATTCCCAGGCAGGGGAGAGGAGCTGGACAGCAAACCCCTCCCACCCCAGGCCATACCTGTCCTGCTCCTGGGCTCAGTGGCCAGCAAATATTTTGTTGTAATTCTGGCTGTGATTGTCAGAAGAGGCAGAGTCTGATTAACAAAAAAAAACTCCCTGGTGTGGCACATGAGACCATTATTGTGGCTACCAACTTCTCCAGCTGGCACCACAGGAGGCAAGACACTGCAAAAAGTATCATTTTCTCTGGATTTTCTTTTTTGTACACACCCAGCAATACCTCTCATCCTTAGAAAAACATCAACATCCTTCCCCACATTACAGAGATCAGAATTTCACATAAAAACCTTCTGCAAGGACTTTAAAGCTCCAAAGTGTGAACATTGAAAGTATTTTCTTAAAACACCCCACGTTACAGTGTGGAACATTCAAAGTATTAAAATACCATTGTTTCTGAGAATTTCATTTGTCAAATAATGCATGTATCAGTGATAGTGGCTGGCAGATTTTGCAGCAATTATTAAAAGACATTGAAATTATTACATATACTTGACATAACACATTTTAAAATACCAACTTCAAAGTGTCATAGCAGAGAAGCTGAACTGTCAGGAAAATGATTCCACCTCTGAATTAAACCATTTGGTCCAATCTTCAACAAAACCAAAGACACACAGAGCTGTCACAGGGACAGAAATAGGAGCACTCTAACATATGTATCATTTAACAGACTGTTGTTTTTTTCTTTGGCAGTAAAGTGAAAAATAAATGCAATATTTAGTTGCACACATCTGTGTTTAATCCTCACCTCAAACTTCTGTCGGAGCTCTGCATTTCCATCTTCATCAGCATCTGGAATTGGAACGTTGTAATATTCTCCCTCTTCTTGATTCAGCAGCTTGTACCTGTGGTAGATTTCAGAAAAAAAATGGTGACTTTACATTTTTCTCCTGATGGATTTAAAATCTGATTTTTGTTGTTTGTGTGTGGTTTGTATCAATGTCACAGGTATGCAAAGAACTGATCTCAAAGACCTGAAGCAAACTCAGAAATTGAATATATTTTACCTGAAATCAGATCTTTAATCCCAAACTATCTGTCAAGGCAGTTTAACAGACAAGGAGATTCTTCCCACACCTCCTGGGATTTGATGGGAGACACCAACCTTTGTCTCCAGTGCTTCCATAGCCCTAAAGAACCGTCTTTGAAGAAATGTCCTTTTTGAGAAGTGATGAGTTCTTTCCTGGCAGGTAATGAGGTGGCATTTTACAAGATCAGTTTCCATGTGCTTTGAATTTGCAGAGCTATATATAACATGATACACTTAGTATTGAACACATCATATTGGAGATAAAAATAAAATTTGTATCACAAGACTATGTACACAGAATTGAGTTTGCAGCAGCTCCTGGCTCCAGCAGAAGTTTCAGGAACATCATAAAAGAAAAGTTGTTTTATGATCCCCTTTTGATATATATAGCCTGTGTTTCCTAGGTTTAGTGAATTTATAGCCTGAAACACAGTGAAAAGCTCAAAAAAAGGTAAATCACACTGAAAAAATTGAGATGTTTAAAACTTTTGGTGATACATTCTCTCCTTCTCTTTTCAGAAACTCTTACCATCCACTGGCTGGCATTTTCATAAGTTCTGACACCCCAAAAGAGAGAGATCCCATGAAATCATTCCTGGTTGTTCGATCCCAGTCCCAGACCTCTACGGATAACCGGCGATCTTTGTCTGTAGGTTTTAATTTACTAAAAAAGGAGAGAAATGGAGGAGTTGTCAACACTGAAATAAACAACAGAACACATCCAGAGACCCCCCAGTAAATCAGAGTGTTAAACTCACAACGTGAATGACTCGTTCCAGTCCGGATTCAGGGTAGAACGGATGGTTTTTGTTTTTTGTTTACTTTCATTTTTAGGATCTGGGATGAGCTTCAGTTTGACATAAGGATCTGAAAGTCCATTTGGATCCATGGGAATGAGGTTTTTTGCTTCTCTCACTGTCAATATAAAACACAGGATTACACATCACCGTTAAGAAAGAAATTACATGTCAGACCGGAGTTACTGAAGCACGTTGACAAATAAATAAGATGTGAAGCCCACTTGTCAGACGTGGCATGAGAGAAACTACTTGTTGTAAAGAAAGGTTGTACTGAGTGATATTTATAAGAATAGCAGGGAGCAGTGACAGGAGAGAAGAGTGATTCACAAGCAACACACAGCTCCCAGGCAGCTCTCCCTGCAGTGCAATGATTAACTACCTAAATCCATCACTGTAATTTTTCTAAGCAGGTACCAATTCTTTGTGCTTTTGTTCCCTCATCACTCTTAGGTTATACAACCAGAGATTAGGAGCCAAACACTGTAAGAGCCACTGCCAGATCACAGGGGATTGCAGAGGATCAGGTGTTTGACACAAGCCCTCTTTGGAAGGTCTCTACCAGCACCCTTCCCACGGATTCACGGCTCATTAGCTGTCAGATGGAATCCTTGGGAGCACTGTCATGACAGCAACCAAAGGAAAAGTGCAGGGAAGACAAGTGGAGCTCCAGCTTCACAAAAATCCTAATGCAGCTTTCTGCTTTTACAATGCCAAAGGAAGAAACAAAGTGAGTTAATTTATCTGGAGTTGTTCCTGATCCCCGAGGAGAGAGGGAACAATCGGAACCGGCAGCTGGGGAGTGAAGGTTGAGCACAGCCAGCACTGCCCTCCCTCCTGCAGACACTTGAGCAATACTTACACATCCTGGAAGAATTCTGAAGAATAAAAGGTGAATTTCCCTCATTCCCACCCAAACCAGCTGCCATGAACTGGGATTAAGCTGGGATGGGAAATTTGGAGCTCACAGTTGGGCTTCTCAAAATTTGGGGGCAGTTTTGGGACAGCAAGCAGCTTCCAGCCAGGAATTCCCTGGTGACAGTCAGACTTTAAGGTTAGAACTGTTTCTGGAAGGAAGACTGCAAGAAGCTTTGGGGGTGCCATGATTCCTTAGGGAGGAAGAAATTCCAGCCTTTGAGAATCACTGCAGAGATTATCCAGGACTGGCACTGCCCTCAGCCACTGCTTTCATTCAGGAGGGATTTCTAAAATCTATCTGCCTAACTGAAGAAATCTGAAGGGAAATTTAGGAAAGATTAAACTTTAAGCAACTTGATAGTTCTTGATGAAAAGTTTTTCAGAAACCTGGACTTTAGAGCCACTTAAAAATCACTTAGAGCTAATGCAAAAAGAACTAAAAACGGGTCAGGATCTTCAGCAACAAACATTTACTGTTTGCTCAAGACATTGTCCTCCTTTTCCCACAGATTTAAACAGCATTTTTATACTGCAACCCCAAAATTCTAGACCTTTCCAGGATTTCAATCTGTTGTTTACCAGCATGGAGGTTAAAAGGCATCCAAACAACAGAAGTATTATTTTATATATAGAATAAGAGGAGTACAGGAATGTGAGCTACTGATTTGGAAGACTCTACTTCATTTGTCAAGATAATTCTCATGCAGAACAGATACCCTGATGTAAATTAATTAATGAAATTAAATCATGGCTGGAAACGAATCATATTAACTTGACCCAACAGTTGACACTGATTAAGTTTCTTAAATTTCTGGTTTTAGAAGGAGAGATAGAAAATGCTTATGGGCTAAAATTTTAGAATAAAGTGTAATTCTATTCACTATCTGTATTCCTCAAAGAATTATATCAGGAAAAAAAAAATCACCGTGTGTTAAAAGAAAAGAACAGAACAATGCATTTTTCTTGCAGACCATTTCATTTGTACTTTTCCACAATCCATGTGTAAAGCTGACTGGGTTTTGCAGCTGGGGAAACGATTCCTTTCAGGCCACAGAAATTGTCCCCACTCTCATTTACTCTGAGTTTGCCCCCTGGGGGTCTTCACACCTGTGGTCAGCTGGAAAAAAAATTCTTTTCAACCGTTTGAAAAAAAACCCAAAACACCCAATTTTTAAAATTTAGTGCACTGAACAGAATCTTCAAATACATCCAAGGAATAACACTGAGATTAAATAACTTATTTTAGCTAAGAATTTACAATCCCAAAGGGCCTAAGAACCATGAAGCGAGTGAAGGATGAAGTGACAGCTTTCAGTGCAAGCTGCTTCTTTCTCTCATCCTATATTTGGGTTTATTATTGCTTTTTTGGTGGGGTTTTTTTCAGTCTTCTTCTGCATGCTTTTTGTGACTGCACTGCCAGGTTTGGCACAGGAGCTATTACTTCAAAATCCACTTTTTGATTTTTATTTCTACGCTGCACTTTGCCATAAGTGAGCAGCAGAACTCCCCATGTGTCCTACAGCTTCCTAAAAATACACACTAGTAAGTTTTCCATTAAAATTCTCTGAACAAATTTGCTTAATTTTACCATTTTCAGGCTGAGCTTTTATGTTTAAATTTTACCTGCAGAGGCCCAGTGTGAAAGAGGGAGGATTTGGGGTGATTGGATGGGTGGATGTGGGGGCTCTGCCACAGAAAGATCCCTGGACAAAGCCATCCCTGCCCAGCCCTGATAAATGCTGCATAAAAAGCTCTGGCAGCAAGAGGACGTGGCAGAATGTGTAAAATTGCTGCTTTCTCCTGCAGCAAACACAGAAAATAGAAAAAAAAATCCCAAAACCTCTAAATGCAAGAAAGAGAAGCTCAAAGATTAATTGGGAAGGAAAAATGCAACATATACTAAATACAGGCTGCTAACGAAGTCATTATCTCACTCCCTGTTTAAAGATATCTGGCCCATTTGTACTTTTGTCTGCATAATTAATACCCTCAGACATCTCTTTCCAACTGACTTAGCACTTCTTTTCCTGAGGAAACAGCGTGATGATACTTGTGCTACATCGTGCTTATCAAGAATTAGCATCCAAGTGGTTCATCTCTTTAATGTGCCCTATTTTTAATGGGACACATCAAGTTTCTCTGGGAGAATTGACATGAAGAAGAGATTCCCCTCCCCACCAAAGGAATTATCTCTTGTGTGTGGTTGAGAAATGAAATGAAAAATAACTCCATGAAAATAAATCAATTTACAGCGGCTGATTTCTGCTATAATTGTAACCATAGCAAAGAATCTCACCCTGCTTGGTAATTACTGATTAATTAAACTCAACACTGTGATAGAGATGCTACTCTAAATTAGAGAAGGTTGAGGGGAGGTGCAGTTAAGCCCCACTTTGGGTAGAAACCTGAAATACTACTTGTCAGTTTTCTGTCATAAATATTGAGGATGATAATAATAATCTCTGTACTGAGCAAAGCAGCTGCCACCAGTTAAATTTATCAACATTTTGTCCAGACCGGAGTCTTAATGGGGGCTGAGAAAGCCCACAGATAAAAAGACAACAAAGACAAGTATGGATTGATGTTCAACAAATCCAGTCTTGCTCAGGTTTTCTTCTAAAACTCAGAAATAATTGACAATTTGCATTATGGACAAAATGTACCATTTTCCTCCTCCTCGTTAATGGAGATCATAAATGTGTTTCAGTGGGAAATGCAGATTATTTGATGACTGTCCTGTGGCTCTTCTATCAAGTGCTGCTTATAAACCTGCAGTATCTATCCAGGAGCTGTGCCTAAAACTGGGACACCCACTTTTCCAGGAATAGTGCAAGGACATAAGCAAATACAGAGCTGGTTCTTAGGTATTCATACTTTAAATAAAAACCTAAATAAAACAGAGTGGGCTGGCAGAGAACAACTGACATTTCATGTAAAGAAAAGAACTTGAGGCAGGATTTTAAGGAATCCAGAGAGAGGATGACAAAGCTGAAACTTTTTCCATGAGATTGTGCAGGTCAAGAGTTGCAAGCCATGTGCAACTGTGGATTTATAGCTTCTTGTGGTACCAGCAGATAAATTTAATCATGGGAATGACTAAATAGAAGTTTCTGCCCCTTGGACAAAGCTGAATGATTCGAGTATGAGTCCAGTCAGTTCCTTTACAAGTGAGTCACAGCTCCCTTTTGCCTGAATTCCCAAATGTGGATAATAAAACAATTTACTAATCACAGCAACCATTTCTTGCCAGTCTTTTAGTCGTGCAGGCAGCTTAGATGAGCAGAAACCTCTCACCCTTGTGCCAAAAGCTGCTTTTAGGAGACACTGTGAGACTCCAGTGGTCTCACCTGGCACAGTATCCAGTGGAATGAGGGAAAAGTGGGGCTGTTGTTAGCTCCAATACCTCATGAAGTTCCTGTCTTCTCACATCAAAGCATTCTTGAATTGTTCCAAAATTCTCATTGCCTCCTGAAGAAGTTTGTGGTGCAGATTTTCTGATTTGCCTGGTTTACAGGTGCCTTAGTGACTGACAGAGGATCTTCCACTCCCAGCCAAGGAACTTTCTTGTTCAGGTACCCTCCTGCACCCCTCAATCACAGATTAGATTTACCTATTACTGAAAATAGTATTTCTTCCCATTTTTGGATTTGTACTCTCCACATGCAGAACCCAAAGCTGCCTCCAAAACTGCTCAGCTTTCATTGAAGATTTGTTTGGAGATTTTATTAAACTCACTGAAGGATTCCTTTCTGGAGCTGCTTGTGACTCACAGGTACGAGTGACTGAAACAAACCCTGCTTCCCAGGCAATTTTCAGTCTCTGGTTTTCATCACTAAAAGGGTTTCCAGAGACTTTTCTCTACTCCACAGCTACTCCCCTGCCCAGGAAAGATTTTGTATCCATCCTGAGCCCAGTGCCTGAGCCCTGAAAAGTGGAACCGTAATGAAAACCTGCACGGTGCAGGTGATGTACAAGGAACAGCTGATGAATATCCTTGTCTGGAGCAAGAAGAAGAATGAACCAATGTCGCATGAGATTTAATTCCTCTGCATTTATTAAGATATTCTCTCCTACTAACAAAAAATGTACCATCATCCCTAACACTGCTTCCTAAATTCTTGTGTCTGCAATAGGTTCTCCAGGTTCAAGTTCAGCATAGAAGCAATTTGATTTTAGTTTTAATGGAGATTATCTTTACAAAAAATACCATCTTAAAATATATGCACTACTGGGCAGGACAGCTGCTTAATGAAACAAAAAATCTTACCACAAGATGGATCAAATACTCTGGAAAAGGCTTCAGGCTGTTGTATTTCTAATTCTTATCTTATATAAATATATAGGATCTAGTTAATATTTTTGGATGCATGCAGATGGCCATTATTGAGAAATTAATGTTTTTTTTAAACACCTTGCATTGCCTGTTTCTTCATGGTAAAGCAAATTTAATGACTGAAGTGGGAAGGAAGCTTTCAGTTGTCAGCAGGGCTGGCATTGCTAAAGGCACAGCTTTTCCTGTAATGACTGCAGCAACCCTGCAGGTTCTGGGAATGTCAGAAAGAAGATATTAGTGAAGTAAACCATGAGATTCATGTTTTTTGAGACGTTAAAAATGTCTCCCACATGGAAACAATTATTTGGGATTCCTTTATAGGAATTTTTTGGTACTTAAAGCTGGTTGAACAGCCAGAACATTCATGTTCCCTTTTAAAGTCAGTTGCAGATATTATGAAATTAATGCTAACAAAGACAGACATTACCCCTGACCTTGAAAGTCAGAATAAAATTATCAGAGTGTGTTTGGTGGTCTTTTAAGGAAACAATTTTGATGAGACTGTTGAAATGTGCCAAAATCCTGCAGTTTGTGTCCCCAGCCTGTCTGGGCACAGGCTCCTGCCCCAGCTGCACGACAGGACTGATTCACACAGTGATATACATTGATATACATTGATATACAGTGCCAGGAGACAGCTCAGCATTCCTAAATTCATAAATATTCTGGGAAATGTCCAGTGGGGAACATGGAGCTCCTGGGGAGATCAGCTCTGCAGAGCCTCCTGTGTGCTCCCAACCTCTGCAGCATCACTGCCAGCTTTCCTCTGCTTTTGAATAACAGAAGCACCCCTGAAGGATAAAACCAGATTTTCTGATCCTTGCAGCTTAGGAAAATACAGTTAAAACCCCCTTGAAAATTCTGGGCTGTGCCTAGATGTGTTTTAATCAGATTTATGTAACAGGGGTGCATTAGCTGCCAGAGAGTTGCCACCATCCTGTCTCTAAATGAGTGTCAGGAGGGCAGATCCTCCTTGTCAGCTGCTGTCACATCCAACTTCCAGTGCCTGAGAGGTCACAGTTTAAAGTCCCAATATCGTGGCAGCATTTTATATATCAGTGCACCAGATGGGGTTATTTTTCTCCCAAAGGTTATTGTTCACGCACTGTAAAAATAATTCAAAAAATAAAGTTAAAAAAAATCAGAACTGTGATTCAACCACCTACAAGCTCACTCAGAAGAGCCCTAAATTATCAGATGGGTCAAGGAGTAAATATAAGAGTGAAAAAACTTTCAGCACACATCAGGAGGAAGAAAATTCAGTGTAAAAAGCAGAGATTAAGAATAGCAAAAAGCACTTTACTACACTTAAGAGCAAACCCCTCACGTCAATCCAACCTGTGAAAGGGTCACGAACTCAGAGATTTCAGAAATATGCATTTCAAGAGTGTTTCTATAAAAAGAAAACTACCACATTTCTGTACTGCAAGTGCCATAAATTATTAATATTCAACACAACTCTCAAGCAAGTAACTCAGCCATTGAAAATAAACCACTGATGTTTAAGAATTATAACAGAAATAAGCACTGAATGGGGCAGATTGAGTAGCCCTGGAGAAGATGGTGAGGTTATGGCAGAGGGTATCAGTCCAAAATTCCAACTCCTCTGTGAAGAAGTGTTGCAGAGTCTCTGTAGCTCCCACAGAAAAACCTGTGTGTCCACACTGATGCACTTGGGTTGAAGATCTGACTTCATGAATTGGAATTAAATATGTTTATACACAGGACTGAATAATTCCCACCATTAATTCCATTCAGAACCTGCCAAGCTGGAGACTGTGGAAAATCTGAGGGAGCCACTGGGCAGCTCCTTCCTAGAATTCACTGGGAATTAAAAACCAGCCCTATTTCCAACCTTTTATCAGGAAAACACTCAGTGAGTGCATACTGTGGGGCTTCTTAGAAACAAAAGGCACCACAAAACCCCCAAAGAAGCAGGCAGAAAAGAGCAATTGGGATGTGCTAAATAAACCAGATCCCCTAAAGGAGCAGATCCCGCAGCTGTCCCGTGCCAGCTGTGCCCTGGTGGGGCTGGCACGGTTGGGGTGGATCTGCAGTGTGCCAGTACCAGGGGTTCTGTGTCTTTAGCAGCACTAATGTTTTGCATGCAATCAAGGCTGGCTGGGAAAGAATCAGCAGGAACTAATTAACAAGCAAAACAGGATGCAGAGCAGGGATATTGAGGAATTCAGCTGAAGGAGTTCAACACCTATGGAGCAATTCCCTTTGAAAAAGATTCTGACAAAAGCTCAAACCAGTCAATCATTGGTTATTTTTCCTGCTGTTCCTAAACTTCCTGGACATTTAATTCACCTCCTTTCTCAAAGCTAAAGGTGGTGATGTTGTGCCTGGGAGCTCTAAGTACTGCAGATTCTAGCAAAGAAAAAATATTTATTTTGTCAATAAATATTTTAGAAGCAAAGGCATTCTAGGAAAATATTTTTGCATTTTGTAATATGTCCATGAACTGGCAATTGCTAATTTCCTTTTCAGTTAAATATACAAAAAAGGCACCTGAAATGTCATGTTGTCCTAGTCCATATGGTATTTTTTATGTAAAACAAAAAAGCAGCTTGCTTTCAGGACAACTGACGTTTTTCTTTAAAGAAAGCTTGGAAGTATTGACAAGCCCCAACCACAACAGGACTGGAATTGTTTTATACATAACAAAGTTATAGCAAACATTCTTCTTGTTGTCCAGAAACCTACTTAATTGGGGGATGGAAATGTTTTATTTATAAACACAATAGAAATGCCATTTGCCAAGTACACTCACACCAGAAATAGCTTATGGAGAAAACCGACAAAATACCTGCTACAATTTTACAGTGTTCACCTCTCAGACAAGACCCTCTCAAATAAAACTGTGAACTAAAAGAATCCTTGTTTGTATAGTCACTTTACAGTGCCTCTGTTCCACAATGACTTTTGTCCCTAAAAGGATTAAAAACCAACTGAATCATCAGGAAATAAGCACATGTTATTTGTCAAATTATGTGTATTACTGCAGAAAGTTTAAGCCATATTTAAGAGCCTTGCTGCAAAGCGGCCCAGAATAAAGCAAATATTAAATTTTGTCACTCGGATGATTTTTAAATTAATTCCCTCTCATGGTACAATTACTTTTAGAAGCCACATCACCATCTCTGAAACGCCTCATTACAAAGTGAAACCACCTTCTGTTAATGACAGTACCTTGGACAAATTTCCCCCTCCCACGTTGACAGGAAGCTCTTTGAAAAGTTAAGCCACAATTAAGCATCACTTGGGATCTATTCTGATCCTTTCTAACTAAATTTTATCAGACTTCTCCTTTTCAGTGCATTTTACAGGGTTTGACAGGAGAATATGGAGGTATTTGGATTTAGAGAGAGCAAAGCCACGGAGGAATAATGTCAGCAGGGTAGTTTTGCTGGGTCTGTAAGCTGTGAAAATTCAGTGATGGTCTGATTTTCTCTATGCAAAGGAGATGTTCTAAGAAACCTCCAACTTTGTCCTGCTCTGACTTTGCCCCTGAATTCAATTCCATTTTGCAACACCAAACAGGCAGCAATAAAAGCACTGTACCCTGTTCTGGTTTCATGAAGTATTTTCTAGAATTTCAGGCTTGGGTCTGTGGGAGTGTGGGTGTGCACAAGCCCAAATTATTCACAAATCCCAGAGAAACTCTTCCAAGGAATGGAACTGCCACCCTCTCCTTCCTTCCTTCCTTTCTCTGCCTCCTCCCCATCTTAATCTAACTTAAGCTTTGATAACCTTAAGCTTATAGAATGTGAGAACTATCTTTTTTTTTATTCTAAAACTCACTGGGAGTAGTATTTGGGATTGAATCCCAGTTGCTTTTGTTTATTCAATACTCTGAATTACAGGAAGCAACTCCTCAGCTGATGAAGGTTTAGTGTATCTCTCATGCTCTGAAGATGATGGGTAACTTCCTGAACAGCAACTCATCCTGCTGGGCTGTTTTTGACAAGGAAAACTGACAATACAGTGATTTTCTAACTAGTATTTCCAAGTTTTTAAAGCTGTTACTACAGATTTCCTTTTTCCTACTTATTTTTATGAACACAGTTTCATAGAGTTTCTTGATACAAAGCCATGTTGCATGAAATCCTCCCACTTCTGGAAGGAACTTCTCCATCAGCAGCTTTTAATGCACAAAGATATGACCAAGGTACACAAACTCAGTGTGTGTCATACATGTATAAAACTTGAAACACTCCAAAATGAGCTGTTTACCTGTAACTTCCAGTTTGTCACCAGTGACTTCAGCTTTCAGATAAATCCTTCCTCTCTTCTCTGTGTGGTCCATGCCACAGAGGCTCGGGACGTTTATCACACATTGCTTGTGAACGTTCATATCACAGGCTGTGGATATAAAAATGGTTTAGATGCCCATGAGAAGCTAAAAATTGTGTCAAAATTAATTAAAAGTGACAATTAAGACTAAATGTTTAATTATTGGCAAGATTTTCAGATTACAGCCGCCTGGTTTTCAACCAAACGCCGCAGCTGGTTTCCATCTTGCAATACTTTCTGTAGAGGGTTAATACAACAGAAAATAAAATAATCTACTTCAGAAAGCTAAACACATCATTAATGTGCAAGGGGAAAAAAAAGTGAAAATGGAATAAAGACTTGCTGGGAACATGACTAAGAAAACACAGCATTCATGGCAGCAATGAAGGGAGGCAGGTTTAATTGATTATTAGCTTTTGCTAGTGGGACTCTTCCACGACAAATTAAACACAAGGAAAATACTAGACCTTGACTACAAACTGAACCGAAATCCCAGTCTTTGAGAGTGTATTCACCCAGACAGTCCAAAAAGAGGCTTTCTCAAAATTGCCATGACAAAAGCTCTTCAGCCACATCAAGCTGAATACACCGTGTTCTCAAGCAGAAGAGGTGATTTTCATTAGTAAGGTATTACAATACTGAAATATCCACTTGAAATATACCAGGACTATAAATAGCTGACATTTGAAATGGTATTTTCCAGAGAAACGAAGTAAGAAGCTGTTATCCAGGGCTTCCACTTCCTTTCTAGAACAGCCCTTTGGCAGCAGAAGGAAAACTTCACTCACTGTCACATTTCATGCCCTGGTGCAGGAGCCCGTAGAGCAGCGACCCACAATGGTCACAAAAGGTGGGGCTCCCGTAGGTGTGGATCTTGAACTTGTGCTTGCTTCTGGGATCCTGCAGGGAAAAACAGACACAGAGGCTAAGTCATAAAAGATAAGTTGGCACACCTTTAGTTTATTAGTTCAAATACCAAAAGCTTTCCAGCTCTGCAAATTCTGCTGCAGGAAAATATGTTTCAGTATGCAGCTTGTTCACAGCCTTGCAGTGGTACCTGCACTGGCACAGGCACATTGCCCTCAGTTCTTAATTCTCCTTTTTATGGTGCTGTAAGTAAAAATGTGTCTGCTCAGGCCTGTTCCCATGATTTATGGACACTAAAATTCATTTACTGACTGCTCACCTACATAAAGTTGAACAGCAATGTTCTGTGGCTGAAGACTCGCAGACTGATTACAGGGTGTTATTGTCACTGCTCTGAAATGTGACACAAAATACAGCAGGAGAACTGGGAAGAAACTGGTCATGGGCTAATCTGAAATACGGTCCAATGACTGTAAAATCAGGATTTTACAGATGGGATCATCTTGAAATGCTGCAACTTTATAATCTCTATTGTTGTAAATGAAAAGGAACGAATTCTAACTTGGCACATGGTAAATATTTTACAAAGACTGCTGTTCCCATCTGATTTTTGAGTAGAGAAACTTAAGGGTGAGGACATTTTAAGGCTGTCAGCGGCTTGGAAATGTTTCCTAATTTAGATCCAGTGAAAGGGAATACACCCAAATCACTTAAACATTTGACACATCCAAAGACATCTTGTGTTTCTGTCAGAGTAAGGGTCCCCTCTGGAAAACCAGGAACATTTATTTCAGAGGAAGAAACCACATCTTCCATATGTTCACCCATGTCAGACTCACTCCAGAGCTCCAGATGTGCAATGCCAAAACAAACATGGTGATGGCCTGTCCTGTGCACACCTTCTTTATCCTCAAATCCTTTATGGCCCCTCCCTGCTCCAGCTGCATTTCATCCCTGCACAGCCTAGGACAGAAACTGGGGAGAGCAGTAACTCTTCATTAAAAACCACATTGGGGTTTGAAATCCATCCTTGCTAACACTCTTCAGAAAGACCATGGAAATTGTGAAATGCCAGGTTTAAAACACCCTCAACGAAAACACAACTGCAAAACGAGACATTAAAATGTTTCCCTTCTGTCTACATTTTGTATTATACCTTTATATTGGGTAAGAACTGTTAAATTGTCTTATAAATGTACTGGTTTAAAAATTTACCTGCCAATCAAAGCTTTCCAAAAAATCAAAAGGAAAGCCCAGCATGTTACTCAAAATGGAAAAGCTGCTGACTCGTCCCTTAAAATTAAAAGATCTCTCTAGTATAAGTGCTTTCTGAAGAAATTTGGGAGCTTTGATCAGTAATTCTCACAAAAAAATATGATGATGAGAAGGCAAACCTTTGCCTTCAAATTTTACTGTTTTGCCACATTAAGCTTTGTGAAGGTTTTTAGTGTTTTGGTAGCATTCTTCACGTGAATTCATTTTGATTCTATGTTTTGCAGTGAATATATAACCACTACTTTTCACTGTATGGAAAGAAATCATAGAGCACCCAGGATAACAAGTAAAGACTTCACCTTACAATTTCAAATTGAAACTATTTCAGTAATTCTGCTCGTTGTACAGGCTGAGACATGAAATGCAAACTGCTACCAAGTGTATTTATTTTGTAAACACAGTGAACCTAAATGGAGTGACAGCCAGGGCTCCAGAGAACATCTGTTTCATTATTTATTAAAGGCACAGCAATGGGGCTGGTGGCTCAGGGTCATGGGAACGTGGTTGTGCAGAAGGGTTCTCTGGTGGCTTGGTGTCTATGTGCCTTCCAAACAATTTAAACCACGGTTGGGAAGCCAGTTCTTCCCTAAATTGTTTTGTTTAGGTGGCAGAAGGGGACTTACTGCCTTATAAATATCTACACTTAAATGTGGCTCTGGTAAGACCTCTGTGGCTGAGAAGGACAAAAGCCACAGCTCCTAAGAATGACACTGAATAAACAGAGTTTTAAAGTTGTGTTTGACATCTGGCATAAGTGGTATTTATGTGTATAAAGTAATGCTATAGAGGGGAAGGAAATGATTACAGTCTCTGTCGATTAAATGCACTGAACCCGTGAATTAGACTGAAATTATGGAACACTGCCAAATAATTTCATTCCAAACTATGGGAAATTATTATAGTCAATGCCCACAAAATACATTGAACCTGCATATTATACTGAAATTATGGAACACTGCCAAATAATTTCATTCCAAACAATGGAATGTGCATATAATTAGGTTAAGCAGGGGTGTGTGTAGTTTAAAAATGTTGTGACATGTAAGGACAACTGTTCTGCACTCATTGAAAACCAACACAAGTGAGGGCTCATGCCTGACTACAAAGCTCTGTGTGGCTACAAAATCCCAGGAAAAGCATTCTTAGAAAACAACCAAAACCAGCTACATGAATGAATAAATAAATAAATCAAATTGGATCAAACTTTGGAGTTGGCCTTGTAGGAGTCAATGTATATAATTTGAACCAGTGTTTGCTTTCTATACTGAACCTTAGTTTTCTATCCTTGTGTGAAAATTCTTACCATGGGGCCTTTCAAATCAACAACTGGATTTGAATTAGATTTTGTAAGAAGCAAATATGTCCTATTTTAGCTGTTATTGTATATGCACACACACAGTCATTCATAACAAGAAGAGGATAATGGAAAATAATACCAAAACTGCTACTGAACTGGACACTTTGTAGGAAATCTCTCTTTTAAGATCCCTTTAATAGAATGTCCAAAAAAATATCTAAAGTCTGCCAAGTAAGAGAGTACACTCTTAAGCAGTGTTTTATCCTATTTTCTGCTTCAATCTCATGCTTTTTTGGGGTTTCTTTTGGTAAACTGAAGTGTAGAACATGTTGCTATTTAGGAAGAAAGTCCAAGACCATCTAGAGAAAGCCAAGAGATCACTATCCACCCATCACAGACGATAAAAGTTTTCATCTTATTCCCATATTTGCAAGGATTTCTCATGCACTTAGAACTACCCTTGAATCTACACCTTTATACATTGCAAGCTGTAATTATTTATATTAACAGCAATTATTTTATCAGTTGTTAATAAGGGTTCATACTTCCCAGTGTTAAATATGCATTAATGAACTTATGTGCATCATAGAGGAGATCACGTCGTCTTTAGTATTTTTTTTTTTTGGCTAAATTATGGAGCCAAAGGAAAGCTCCTGTAAATTTTCTTCAAATATCCCCTTTTCATCAATGTAAACTTTCAGTAACTCCCAAAGCAGAGCTGGCAGCCCCATTTTGTAGTAAACACAGGGAGCCAAGCCAGGATCTGACAGATGAACTGCCAAATAATGGCTGCTATTTGCAAGAGAATTGAACTTTGCATTAAACTTGGCATAGATTAATTGTGAAACTCTAAAGGGAAAACCTACTTCTGTTTCCAAAATCCATCAAAGTTATGAGGGGGGAAAGTGGCAACGGGAAAGCAATGGGGAAGCACTTGTTCAGCAGTGATGGATGATGTGCTCTATTGAAATTCGTGTTATTTCTGTGCTAAAAAGTGAATTCTCTGCTATGTTAAGACAGTCCTCCATTTTTGTAGGTACAACTAAATGCAATACAGTGTAATTAAATGGGATAAAAACTTCTGGGCAATTGATATCACAGACTTTTAGATATTTTTCTTTGCAAAACCTTTGAATTGGCAAAATTTTAATTCTGTATTTGCATTCTTTCTAATAGACTGAGGTTTCAGCACCTGCAATGACACACATGGGGTAGCATCGCTGTAAAGATGAATCAAACATCTACACCCCACACAGCTCTGCAGAAATCAGAATATTATTTATTCTGCTAAGATGTAGCAGATGTGATTGCAGAGGGGAGCAGCCACAGAGGGAGGGATCCACCAGGAGAGGGTTTTACACACCAGCACCAGGTGGAACTACTGAAAAAAAAACCTGAAGGTGGAGCAGAAACAAAATAAATAATGACTTTGCAGAAATTACTCTCCCAGACAGCTCTGGATGTGCTCAGAGGGGTTCAGCCAGGAATCCTGCCACACTCCAGCAGAGGGAACCAGAAGAACACGGAGGCATCTCCACAAACCCCACACATTTTTCCATCTATCAACCACCACTGAGCTACATCCTGCCCCCCTGCCACCATCCCTGCCTTCTTCCTTTGTTTAGCACAAATGAAGCCATTTCCTTTATTGAACAGCAATGGAAAGCACCCCTCTGTGAGAAATCATTCCATAATTTCTGTGGCTCTTAGGCGGGGGTGTGCAATAATTGCAAGCGCATGGTTAACCAGCAGCACATGTCAAACTGTGCCTCAACACAACACAAAACAGCTTACGAGCATTAGAGCTCAGAATTCTTTCTAAAAGCTCCCTTTTGATTGGAATTTTATTCCCCCCGATAGAAACACTGAACCTGCTATAATTTTGCAGGCATTAGATCACCACATTGCCTTTGGATTTAAAACACACAGACCCCACTTTGTGCACCAGTGCAGGTTTTCCATCCCATTATTGTTTGTGAGGCCTTTCCATGGGAGGCAACAGCTGTGTCAGCAGGGCCCAGGATCCCTGCCCTGCGCTGAGCCCGGCGTGGGCAGCACGAGAGGGAGGTTCTGGCCCTCTGCCCCTCAGCTGAGACCCCTGAGGCAGAGCTGTTCCTTCAAACACCGATTTGAAGGGCAGAGCTGCCCCAGCCCTGGGCCCAGCACAGCGAGGACCTGGAGCTGCTGCACAAAGCCCAGAGGAGGCCGTGGAGATGCTCCAAGGGCTGGAGCCAGGCTGGGAGAGCTGGGAGTGTTCACCTGGAGAAGAAGAGGCTCTGGAGACACCTCAGAGCCCCTTCCAGAACCCAAAAGGAGCCCAGGAGAGCAGGAGAGGGACTGGGGACAAGGGCTTGAAGGGACAGGACACAGGGAATGGCTTTCCACAGCCAGAGGGCAGGGTTAGATGGGATTTTGGGCAGGAATTGTTCCCTGTGACGGTGAGCAGGATGGCACAGGGTGC